ACTGCTGCGAGCCCAGCGCACGCGAGCCCAGCTGCCACGAGCCAGGCCCGGCCCCCAGCTGGTGGCGCATCCAGGAGAGCGAGGAGAGCGAGGGAGGAACTGACCAGCTACCTCTTTGGGGACAAAGGTGAGGAGCGGCACCTAAATCGGGCCAGTCTGACCGAAGTACCCGATTGGGCCTTTGCGTGAGTCAGGTCCAAAGCTTGGGGGGGCACTCTTGCTTTAGGGTCCCGGAGTTTGCAAAGTCTGTGCAGAGCTCCCATGTCCGCGGCCAGTGCTACGAGAATGCGAGCCTCTACGTTCACATGAGTTTCACAGGTGTCTCGACTCTCATCCCAACTCTTCGTGCTTTCCCTTCCAGTTCCACACAGCCTCCTCTGCGGAGATTGCAGCAACCCCGCGACCTTTGCGATGCGCGGGGGCAAGGAAGGGGGCAATTTCAAATACTTCTGCGGTGTGCATCGCCTGTTCAAACCTGGCTGCTTCCAGATTGAGACGGCCCGGGCAGGTGAGTTCTATGCGGGTGCCGTTGTGCCGGCGCACTATGGCCTCCACAATTTGAGGTCACTCGTCCAAGAGCTGTGCTAGGCCCAAGCATGCGAATCTGCAAGTTTGCAAGTGTACACAGTGGCTATCGTCCACAGCCTGGACATGTTCTGCATGTGAGCGCTTGTCACTTGGAAAATCATGTTCTTCGTGCCTTATTTTTCAGAGTGGGCACTTGACTGCGAAGTGTACAAGTTGAAGAGAGAGCTAGCGCGGTCGCTCGACGAGGAGGCGCGGCTCAAGGGCAATCGGGGTGAGGGTTTGTAAGCCTCTAAAGCCGCGGATTTGTGCCTCTTGCTTTGACGACCCTTGATTCGGTCCAGCTTAAATCTTGCTGCCAGCGCAACTACGGGCAGTCTGCCAGGCTCTCCTCTATGCTGTCTCCCGGTTACCCTGAGAATGCTCGTAAAGCTCGAATTCATTTGAGCTTGTGCTGAGTGCTGCGAGTCCTCCCTGTGTTATGCGCGATTCAATCACCACCTCTCTTCTCCACAGGTTGCAACGAATGGCACGAGAACGAGTACTGGTGGGATTCAACTCCCAAAAGCAGAGACCTGATCGGTAAGTCATTCTGATGCCTTGGCACCAAGTCTAGCGCGTGTCAGGTCACTTAGTGAAGAGAGACCAAGTCAGGTCTTTATTCAGCTCGACCCGGTAGCAGAACACTCAATTGGAGACTGATCCAGCTTGTTCGATTGCAGAAACTTTCGGTGAAAGCTGCCTGCTCTTCAAGGTTAGCCGCTCTTCTTTGAAGGTCGTGTGAGCGGATCAGGGTCTAGATTGATGGACGTCGAGGAAGTTTAATTCGTCCGTTGACCCTTTTGCAGCAAAGCTCTTGATTATCGGCGGGGTCGAGAGCAATCCGGGGTTCCCATCGACCGAAGGGAACAGTCCCCTAGCATCGGGAGGCGACATGCCAGTACGCAACGTCGGGGCGGCCGGAGTAGTCGCTCAGCCGCCTCCTCATGATGTGAGCAAGCACCCGTCAGGGAGTGTTTTTAGAGTCATTGTTGTTCATGGATCAGGGCCCAGACAATTTGCACAGGCTGGAAGAAGTGAGTGTTTAACATCCGAGGTGCAGATTGACGGCAGCGATCGGGCAGTGTTTCTGGACCAGGCCCTAGACAATTTGCACTGGCTCGAAAAAGCGATTGTATAAAACCCGAGGTGCAAGTTGTCAGCCCATGCATCTGGCTCCCCACTCCGTTAGGTCAGCTTGGTTCCGAGCAATGTGTAATTGACCGCGGTCCTGCCACATGACTCGACTCGCAACGATGCTGTGTGTTTTTAGGGTTTCGGGTTTTAGGGTCAAACGCCCCAGCTAGGTTCGAAGTCCTACAGACTGTGTGCGCATCCCTGTTGCAGGCAAGGGACGGCCCTGAGGATCGGCGACACGCCAGCGCGGACCAATCGCAGAGTTCGGGATCCGGTGTCGGCACGAAGAGGCCGCCAGAGCAGGTAAGAGCCCCCACAGGTTCGATGTACTTCCCTCCACGCTCCACGAATTGGGGAGCTTCTGAAGCTGCACTTCATGACCATGCTGCCAGGTTTCGGTCGTTGCTTCAGGTAAGCTAGTCAGCACGTGGGTCTCAAATACATCATCCGGTTTAGTGGAAAGGGGCTTGGTGTGCAGGTTTCGTCAAAGAGGAGGGGAAGGAGGAGACTCTTCAAGCTCTCTGAACTTGAAGGCGGAGCCCCTACAGACCTCGCCACAGGCAGCGTGATCGAACCGACTACTGGCGCGCGCACACGGTAAGCACCTGTGCCAGGATTCAAAACACGCATCGCCCATGAGGTCGGTCATCCGTTTTTGTCAATTGCCTTGTTACGAACAGTGCGCAACACAGCGAGACTGTTTCAGTGATTGCATCTGCATCAAGTCATCAGCCTGTATGACGTCCGAACTCTCTAATCCTGCTCTCCTTCTCCTCGATATTAGGGAGGCCGGAGAGCTTGAGGAGGACCTCAGTGGATCGTCCGAGCGGGCCGCGGGCAGCCGCCGCGATGGGCGCTGGCATGGCCATGCAGGAGCGAGTGGTTGCCGACTTCTTTGCAGAGAGCAGACAGCAGCGAGAGGCTTGGGTGGCGAGAGAGGAGGAGACGTTCGGCCCACTCTCCTCGCCAGATCTGGAGCGTCTAGAAACGTGAGGCCCTGCTCTAGGATTGCCTCACTTTAATTCCGATGGCGCTGCAGTTGATGAACTCTTTCAGCATGATCAAGAAACAGGTTCCAATTGCGACCCCGAATCGGATGCTTTGATTTGGAGTTCAATCCGGTCCCAAATCCATTCCTCGACCCGGTCTCAAAATGTGCTCGTTCGTCTCCGCGTACACTTTCGCATAGTGAGTCGTCAGAGGTTGACTGCTTCTTGCCGCCGCAGCGATGGTGCCGAGGCCCGAGAGCAGGAGCTGCCGGAAAGGCGTAGTCCGTACCCACAGCGCCCGACCTGGTGAGCCCATCGCTTCCTTCCAAGGAGGTATTGGTGCTTCTAAACTCTCTGCTAGAATCTGAAAGTGTTCAGGTCTTTCACTTGCATATTTGTGCGCGCAAGGCAGGGCCCGGCACGACCATGGCCCTTTAAGAAGGACACACTGCTGCCAAACCTCAACTTTTGCATGCACCAGCAACGCTTCAATTCCTCGAGGCTTGTTGGCATCGAGTATTTTGCGCCTCTTTGGAGCCCAGCCTACCACGCCCATGGGCATTCTTACCGCCGCGGTTGCTGACCACGTGCGCTCCCAAAAGCTCACCCATTTGTAATCTTATTGGACTTCAGGAACGGAACCAGGTCAGCGAAGCAAGGACGTCAACGCCGCGGGCCCAAAAGACTGATCGGCCGGCCTCAAAGAAGCGGCGGTAAGTTCTTTGACCCGGGTATTTCTCTGGACTTCTCATCTCCGACACAAAGGTGATACTTGTGTGCCGGATGCCTTCAGTTGCTTCCTTAGGCACTATGAGCAGCAAGGGCATCCCTCGGGGCTCACTTGATTACCTCTGAGTTCTTCCAAATCTCGCAAGTAGCAAGCCGTTGCCCAACAGTGGTCTGCATTTTCAGAGCGTTTGATATGCTCTCTCTTCTTGCGCATCTTCAGCAAAAGGGCAAAAGCGAATCCTACTACCATGGAAGAGGCAGCTCGGGCGGCCGGTCGAGCGGCTGCGGCAGCTCATCTGCAAGCTGTGGGGGCATTGAGGACATCTAGAACGCAGCGCGAGGGGCAAGCCGTTCATCAAACCGAGCTGGGTGATTTCGAAGGCCCGCCTCGTGCACGCCCCGTCGTAAGTTGCCGTGGAGCATACCTTTGTCCTGAAGCGGCCGAGTGGACTTCTGTGCATGCACCTGTATTTGCCGCTGTTGACGTCGCTTGATCAGCTCGTGCGCATACTGTTCCACAACACCTTGGCAGGCAGCCTGGTGTAGCTGGCGGTCTTTCGTTAGAGGCTTCAAGTGCTGTCAAACATGCGGCCTTGCTGCAATAAGGGCGTTGTAGGGTTGCAAGCCTGACCATAAATGCCTGACCTGGCTTACTCTTGAACATGAATTCGAACCCTTTCGACTATTTTGGCGCAGGCGCTGGTGACCGACGCTCCCATCCCAGACGTCGGGGCCCTGGTCGATCGCCTGAGAGCCAAACGGGACGCCGAAGAGGCGGCCGCACGAGAGAAGCGGCTGAAAAGCTATGGGCGCGTGCGACCCCTGGGTGCTCCACGTGGGACGGGGGATGCCCTGGCCCGCACCATGGACCAGGACCCGAGCCCTTCCTCCTCTCTGCCCCCTGTCGTCCTCCCTTCTCGGGGGGAAGATTCCCCCCCGAGCGCGGAGCAGACCCCCACAGGAGCCCCCTCTTCACCGGCCGTGGAAGACGAACGGGCCCCGCCGTCGCCGCCGGCCGACCAGCCCCCTATAGACGCGGATCCGGGTTTGCCTTCCCCCTCCCTCTCGCAACCCCATGATGAGCCCCCCTCCCCCGGGCACCCACCCTCTCCCCCCCTCGCTGACCAGCCCGAAGAGCCCCCGATCATAGCCCCGCCCCCCCTCGAAAAAGCACAGCCCGAGGTGGTTCCCAGTCAGCCCCCAGCAGCTGCCCCTTCCCCTTCCCCCACCCACCAAGAGCAGCCGCCCGTCGACCAGGCGCTTGCAGCCGACCCGCCAAACCAGCCCCGGGCAGCGGACACAAGCTGGCCCGCTACAGCGGAGCCGTCCGCAGAGCTGTCGTCCGCACTTCCGCCCTCGGAGCCTGCCGCGCAGCTGCTTGGGGATCCCCCTCAGGCTGCGTCGGTCGAAGATAGTGGGCCCGGCTGGTGCAAGAAGCTAGTGGAGGCACTCCGGCAACGGCGGGCAAACGGGCGTGCAATTGTGGTGGCGGAGGATGTGCACCAGGAGGGGGCAAAGCGCTACGGCAGCTTCAAGGATGTCGCGGCCTTGGTGGCGCACCGGAGGTCGCTCGGGCTGTTTGCGCACCTGTACGAGCTCATCCAGGACGATGCCTGCTGGCGCATCTACTTCGACCTGGACTTTTCGCTCCCAACCGAGGACCCGAGCGACTTCGAACGGCGCCTGGAGGCTTTCCACCTGGTCAGGGACCGGTTTCTAACCTCGGTGCTGAACGTCCCCGAGGGTGCGCTCCGTTTCCAAGCTTGCGAGGCGCACGGTTCAGCGCGGCCCCCGAAGCAAGAGTTCAAGTACAGCGTGCACGAGGTGCTGGAGGGGTTCTGCCTGAGGGGGCTGGAAGCCAGGAGGGCATTCGGGAAGGCCTTTGGGTGCTTCTTGGAGAATCCCCCGGACGACCTAAAGCCGAGTGCTGAGCTCCTGCGGAAGGACGGCGGATCCGCCTACATCTGGGACGGGTCCGTCTACGGGCAACATCGCTGCTTCCGAATGCTCAGGTCCTCCAAGTTTGGGGACCGTCTTCGCGCCCTCGTCCCCTGCGAGGGCAGCTCCGAGGCGATCGCTGACCACCTGGTCTGCCTTTACTCGGAAGCGGAGCTGGCTGGTTCCACCGAGATCAGCGGCGACCTTCTCGGAGAGTGGGCGACCGCGCGGCGCGACCCTCCTGCCCCGGCCCGCGTGGGGGCCTTCCGGCAGAGGGCGCTCGCCCTCGATGAGGCGAGCACCTCGGAGGGGCCCCGCGAGGACCTGAGCGCGCAAGAGCGGGCCGTCCTCCTCGCCCGCTACCAGGAGGACCACGCAGGGGTCGAGATCAACCGGGTGGTGCAGGAGCGGCCGGGGCTGTTCTTCGTCCACTTTCGCGCGCCCGAGCCCACGTGCGTCATCGCGGGCAGGCGCCACACGTCCCCCGGCAACCAGAACCCGTACCTGATATACAAGCGGGACGAGCCGCGCATCGCCCGCTACCAGTGCTTTGCCAACAACTGCAGGTGAGGCGCCCTTGTAGTGAGCTGAAGCCTGAAAAGCGGCCGGCATGGCTCGGCCGACAAGTTGCATTGGTCGCTCTTTACATTCGAGTTTAAAAGGTGGTGCAGATTTTCGAGCTCTTTCAAGGTTGACCGGCTCAGCAAGATGTGGAAGCATCAAGCCTGGCCCTGGGCTGTCAATCTGCACGAGGGTCTATACACCGAAGCCTCTTAAAGCAATGCACTTTGTCAAGCTCTTTGAAAGCTTCTCTGAAACTGGGTCTAGCAGTTTCAGAGAAGCGGCAAGCATGGCTCGGCCGTCAATTTGCACAGGCCGTTCTTTACATTCATGCTTGTAAGTCAGTGCAGTTTGTCAAGCTCTTCGAGTTGGATCGGCTCTGTACTTCACGAAAGCGCACGGCATGGCTCGGCCGTCAATCTGCACAGACCGTTCTTTACATTCACCCTTGTCAGTCGGTGCAATCTGTCAGGCCTCTTCGCTGAGTTGATCGGCTCTGTATTCCAAGAAAGCGCACGGCATGGCTCGGCCGTCAATCTGCACAGGCCGTTCTTCACAATGAAACTTAGATGGTACAATTTTCAAGGCCAGGGTCAGGTTTCAGGCATCTTCCAAGCCACGGTGAGGCTGCTTTTGCTACGCTGTGGGCCTGGTCGCGGGTCTGCTGTGGGCTTAGGTTCGAGGCTGCGGTCAGGCTGGTTGGGGGGCCGCGATCGCGCTTTTTTTGGGGCGTGGTGAGGCTGAATCGGAAAGGCTGTAGTAAGGTTGTAGTCAAGCCTCGTTCGAAGCCGCAACCCGGCTAGGTTAAGGGCCTCGATCAAGCTCTCTTAAGGGCGCCTCAGACTGGATTCGGCCAATTGGTCTAATAGACATTTCAATACCCCGCATCGTGTACCCCGCATCGTGTTAAGGTGCTTGGGCTGTTGTTGAGAGCGCCTCTTGTTCCCTCTTTGCAGGGGCGAGTGCCGCGTGCTGCCCCTGGACATCCTCACCACGCTGGGATGGACGGAGGACTACGAGGAGAACCTGGGAATGCGCCCCTACCCCGCGTTCAAGCTCGCTCACGTGCGCAAGCGAACCATCCTGATTTCGGCCAAGAAGGGGGTCGGAAAGTCGAAGGAGTTCATTGCGTGGCTTGTGGCCATGGTCAAGTTGAACCCCGGCCTCTCCTTCGTCCTGATCGGGGCTAACATCTCGCTGTCCCGCAAGTACCACGAGGACCTGGTGGAGGCGGGCGTGGAAGGCGTGGTGCTGTACCTGGAGGCGCCCCCGGGGCCAATCGCCGCCTCTCGCGCCGTCATCTGCATCAACTCCATTCACCGCGTGCGCGCCAAAATGGACCTCGTGGGGATGGACGAGATGGACATGGTGCTCACCAACCTCAACTCCGAGGTCATGTCCCAACGGGGCCGGGTGCTGTCCTGCTTGGAGGCGGCTGTTGGGGGATCGAAGGTCGTCATCGGAATGGACGCCAACATCGACTGCGCACGGGTGATGGAGTACCTCTTCATGGTGCGGCCGGATGCGGTTCTCCACACCATCCGGAACACGGGCTTGTACCCGGCCGAGAGGCATGCGACCATCCGGATCTTTCCGCTTGGGAGCGGGCTGCTCGACTGCATCGACGCCGCAGTACGGGATGTGCTGGACCGTGTCGCTCGAGGCACGAAAGTCGTTGTGAGTTCTTCCTTCAGACCTTCCTGCACTAACAAGCCTTGTGCACAGCGCGCTCGATTTGAACATCCATGTGATCTTCTCAAGCACCGTGAGAGAGCGTCTATGTCCAAGGTTTAAGGCAGACATGCAAAGCATCTTCTCTGTTTGGTTGTCTGGCCCTTGCAAATTCCACTACTGATGGAAGCCAAGTGGGTACTAAGTGGGCACTGCCTGTCCCGTGTCGTGCTAAAAGACTACACGGTTTGTCTTTTGCGAACGGGTCTCTGTCAGAACGGTCGCAGCAGGTCGCAGCAGGTCGCATCATCTGCTCTTGCCATAGGTCCTTTGTGGTTTAGGAGCTAACAGCCGTGCTCTTGACTCTTGTTGCGCAGTGCCCGTCGACCTCCAAGCGCTTCGTGAAACACCTCGAACACCATTTCAACATCGAGAACCCGCCCCTCAAGTCTGATCGACGCGGCATCTTCCTGCACGCCGACAAGAGGTCGAAAGCCGACGAGGAGTTCTTCCAGAAGGCGATGGCCGACCCAGACACCTACTTGGAAGCGGACTGTGTGGCGTTCTCTCCAAAGCTCGGCCCAGGTGTCTCGAAAGAGAAGCCGTACGCTGAGGAGACGGTCGCCTTCGCCCTCAACAACCTCAACGGCCCCGCCGTTGAGACGATGCTCCAGCAGCATGCTCGCTTCCGAACGGTCACTAACTCCACCATCTACTACAAGCAGGCGGTGAGCACTGCAGTGGACCTGCTGCGCTCTACAGAGGCGGTCTTTCAAGCCATCGAGCGGGACGACAAGCAGATCGTCAAGATGCTCGGCGACGCGGCCGGCTTCCAGTTCCTGAGGGGTTCGCAGGGCATCTGCGACCGCTCCTCGGCGAGCTGCGTCTTGTACGCAAACAACATCCTCGCCAAGGTTGAAAGCTATCTGGAGTACGTGCCGAAGCTGAAGGCCGACCTCGAAAAGCAGGGCTACCAGGTGACGGTCGAGCACGTCGAGCCAACGGTGAGACTGCCGAGTAGTGATGCGGAAACTGAAAAGCGCCCGGCATGGCTCGGTCGACAAGTTGCACAGGTTGTTCTGTATATTCAAATCTATTAGGAGGTGCAGATTGTCAAGCCCGTCAAGTGGCCCTTTCGGTTGCAATGATCAAGTAGGCTCGAGTAGGGTCAAGCTAACGGACTGCTCTTGGGGTCGCGGTCAGCATGATCTTAGGCCAAGGTCAGGCTGTTTTGGCGTCTACTGTGGGCCTTTCTTTTGGTCTGGTGTGGGCTTGGTTTCAGGGCGCGGTCAAGCTGTTTGGGG